ATATAGTAGTAAGAAATTCTAAAATTCAATAAATGGAAATCTTATTAGAGAAGAAATATGTAATCTTAAAAAACTTATTATATAATATAGTAGTAGAAAATCTAATTAGAGAAAAATATATATATAATATTTAAAAACTAAATTACTGAAATTCAATAAAAGAAAATCTAATTAAGAAGGAAATATATAATAGTAAAAAAATTATTTATGTAATTCAATAAAAAGGAAATCTAAATAGAGGAGAATTACTAATAATAATAATTTTGTAGTAAAAAAAAATGAAATTTAATAAAAGGAAATCTAATTATAGAATAAAATATATAATATATTTCAATAAATACATAACAACAATTCTATATCAAATTATAACAATTAAATCCAAAACCAAAAATTGTATATACAAATTATTTTATATTTCATTATTTATAATTTATTTAAAATTTTTAGAATGTTATTTATTTCAATAAATAATATGTTTTTATAATATTATTTATATATAATAAATAATAATGCAAATTATTCTTATATTTTTTTTTTAGGGACAAATGCAAAAAATACCGCAAAAGTATACTCCGTGTAACACTTTTACCCCTTATTTGAAAAAGCGTGAAAAAAATATTCATAATTTTTTCACATTATGCAAAAATACCCCTCTGACATAAATTAGTGATATAATATCCGTTTTGCCCTTTTACCCTTCCGAAACTGTCCAAGGAGGTATATGTGCTACTAATCTCATATTATAAGGGCGTTTTGTGCACATTACCTTATATTTTTGAAACTTTTTTCTCTATATATATCTCTAAACATTTTTTTTTTTAACTTTGAGAATTTGTAGAACAAGGATTTTAATTTCTTGAGATTCCAGTTTACTCCTATCTACTATTTTTTTTTCTTTATTTATTTATTTTTTTTCCGTACCAACACTTTTAAAAAATATATATATATATAATCCCAATATTAGTGTACACTGGTTTTTGGAGTTTGAAAATTTTTTGTTCTCTTTAGTTTGTACTTTATTTTTGTTTTATTTTCTATTTTTATATTTACTTTTATTTTATACTTTATTTTTATTTTTATTTTTTATGTTTATCTTTACTTATCCATTACCGGCGTCCTCCAATAGTGTCATTTTAGGTCATTTTATAAAATTATTTATTTTTATATATTTTATAAAATGGTTCAATAAGGGTAATTTAGTCAACTTAGGGTTTAAATTTGTCAGAAGAACCTATTTGCACCAGATTGAAACTTTATGGGTGTTTTTTGCACTAGAGGGGCATCATTCACAGCGTCCTTTTAGGCTATTTTATAAAATTATTTATTTTTATATATTTTATAAAATGGTTCAGGAAGTATAATTTAGTCAACTTAGGATTTAAATTTGTCAAATGAACTTATTTGCACCAAATTGAAATTTTAGGGGTATTTTTTGCACGTGAAGGATGTGATATGCACTGTAAACATACTTTAGGAGTATTTTCTGTACTTACCTTCTTCTTTTTTTCTTTTTTTTTTATTCTTTTGTTATACACACTTCTGCTCACATGCATCACACGTGTTGTTTACTAGTATTAAAAAAAAAAAAAAAATGAGTTTTAACTAACCAAAATCTCTCAAGTTTAAATTAAACAAGATTTTTTACTTTAGTAACTTGTCCAAATATAAAAAAATTATTTTGGAAGTGACAATTAAAAGTATTAACATATATGACACTATTATTGTTATTGATAGTCACAAAAAAATTAGTTTATGAGTTTTTCCTCTTTCTCAATGTTCTTAGGACTTGCCAATGAAGGTTGGTAAATCATTCTTTATATATTTTTTTATTCTAAATACCATTTTACAAAAATATTTGATAAAACTAGTTCATGCATTTATTAAACATGAGGCAACTTAAGTGATTTTTCTCCTTTTATTTTTTTCTTTAATTAATGTAATGGAAAATATTTACCCACTTACTGATTAATAGGCACCCTCTAATAACTACTAATGCGATCTAATTTTATACTAAATTATTAAATTTAAAAGTTGAAAAGAAAAAGAATTAGAAGTGCGGTCAATCCACTCAACAACTTAATTCTCCTTATTTATTAATTTTATAATTAAAATATACATTTACATTTGTACTTCGATCAATTTAATATTATCCTCAATTTCATATAATAGATATTATATATGTGTATATGTAATGAAAAAAAGGATACGTTGCAGCAAAGACTATAATAATAATCAATTTTTTGTGTCACAATAATTAAACTTTCAAAAGGATACTTAAAAAGGTTCAAGTTGAAAAAAATTATGAGTTCAAGGAGACGATCTCTTTAATTTGGGATGAATATACTGGTGTTTTGAAAAAAAATTAAAGGGATTTTAATGATTTTTAGGAATAATGAAAAATTTAAATAAAAAAATGGAAGGGGTGGGGATGGCCCCACTAGCTCCGCCTCTAATTCTTAAAATCCTAAACAAAATTTGTTTGATTAGGTATTAGTAAAAGGACAATGCCTGAAGTTCATCCTTCACCTTGTGATGGTTGAATGTCATTGAAACACGTGTTTAAAAAATAAAAAATAAATGGTTGAATGTCATTGAAATATGTGTTTAAAAAATAAAAAATAAAAAATAAATTAAAGATGAGCATTACTCATTCTTTACCGTTTAAACTTTTTTTTTTTTCTTCATTCTTTCCTTCTTAAACACGATAATATATGGAACGGACTCTGCCCTTTCTCTCTCACAACAAAAAAAATTCTCTTTTCTTCTTCTTCTCTTGGTCTCACATCAATGCACATCGATCTCAATTAACTAAACATAAATAGAGAACAAAAACTCAAATTTGTATAGAAAATAGTAAATAAATAATCATTTATTGTCCAAACTTGCTTCATAAATAAATAATTATTTTCAACTCCAAAACAAAATAATCATTCACTTTTTAGTAAAGAGAAAAAAAAAATCAAAATTCTATAAAATCATAGAAGAAATAATAATATTATTATTATTTTTGCCTATTATCATGTTTTGCATGAATGCTTCTAATTTTTGTATTTATGATTGTCTATATGTAATATTGGATTGCTAGGCATACTGCCCTATGAATTAATAAAATTTTATAAGCAATCGAATTGAAAGTGATGAAAATAAAGATAAAATTTTTAAAAAGACACGTTAACCATTCAATAAATAAACAAATTATATATTAGATACACGTCGAGTTCTTGACTAAAACTTTTAAGTTTTTTTAATAGTAAAAATATATATATATATATATATATATATATATATATATAATTTTCTATTATAGTGTTACGTGTGAAATTATAAAGATTTTACACTTACTAAAGACTATATACTTAGGGTTTTAGAGACTCACACTTCGGGTTTTAAAATGGAGGCAACCACAAGCAGTGGAGGAAGATGGCGGCGGCAAGTAGTGCACGGTGAAAACTAGGGTTTCAGATAGAGGTTGGATATGGAGATGGAGAGAGATATGCCTTATCCTGAAGAGAAAAGGAAGACAGCTGATTGTGATATAGAAAAAAAAAAAAAAAAAACAAGAAGAAAAAACGGCCCAAGTATTGTCATTATTAAAATAAATTTGCGTAACTTGCATTACATGCATAGGGAGAGTTCAAGACTTTTTCATGACTTTATTAAAAGCATTACTCTTTTTAAATATTTTTGTGAAAACTATTTTATCAATCCTTCTATATTTGGGATGGACAATACTTGGGTCCTCCGTTGGAGAATAAGTTCATCCTCCCAGTTGATGTGACTTAATATAATTTATGCACATATTTAAAATTTTAAAATTTATAAAAATATTCATTACCCATTTTCTTACTGATTAAACAGAATCCTAATTTTTTTTTTTCAAAAGAATTACTATTGTTTCTATTCCAATCTCCATTTGAAATTAAAAAATTACTAAATTTATTTAAATAATGTATTATATCATGTGTTGAATAGGCTTTTCTTGTATATTATATTTGAATAGAGTTTTTCTCGTATATTTATTTCTAGTTAGAGTTAGCTTTTCTCGTAGATATATTTTTTGTCATAGTTAAATCTATCTTTTTAGATCTCTCCCAAGTTCCCAACACCTTCAATTGATAGGCTAATAAATTTTTTATTTTTTATTTTTTATTTTCCCTTTATCATTGGTGGAAAATATTAAAATTGGGTTTAACTTGTAAGAAGTTGAATGATAACTTTTACTAAAATTTTAAAAATTTGGACATGCACTTAAATTGTATTAGAGGCAAAATCAGAGAGTATAAAACTCATGTGGTGACCCAAGTATTGTCCGTTTGGGAATATTAATGTCCAAATTGAAAAAACAATAATTCAAACTTTGAACCGTATTCCTTTCAATTTTAAAATGCTGGTACTTCCAAACTCAACCAACTGTTTTTAATCAAAAATACCCTCACAGAATCAGGTCAACAGGGAACCATCCACATAAAGTATACGAGTCCAACTCCCTAAAATGAAATGTTCGAAGTTACCAAACAGCCCCTAGTACCCTACTCTCTTTCTCTCTCCCCCACCTATAAACTAATCGATGACACACTTGACAGATAGGAAGCAGATATGTACACCTGAAAAAACCCATTGGTAATTTGAAAAGACCTTCGCTCTCATGCCTACCACTTTGAGCCGTCTTTGCAGAGCAAGAAAAGCTAGATAAAAAGACCAAAATACATACAATACTATTTTACCATAAAGTTGTTATGAACTTTAAATGCATGTATGTATCGATGTTTAAAAAAAAGAAAAGAAAAGAGATTTAATTTGTATAAATGTAACATATATATATATATATATATACATACATTCACAACTATACAAAGTGTATATGCATATCCTTTGTAGCACTTCGTTTTGGGTCCCCTTTGGCCCTTTTTATATCTCTCGCTTTTCTGTTTCCCTTTTTTGTCTCCTAATATCCGTTTCTCTTCCTTCCGTTAACATATACATACACAAAACTCAACTGGATGTCTTCGTCGTCTTCTTCTTCATCACAGGATACTGAAGCAGGCGGAGACGGCGGCGGAGGAAGAGGTGGTGGTGAAGGTCCATCGTCGTCTCGCCGCCGCTTCGGCAACCGAGTCTGGCCGGAGCCTTTCATCGAAGCTCTCGCTTCTCAAGTCGCCATTGATGCGTCTCGCTCCATTGACCGCCTAGCTGCCGCACGCGCCCTCTTCAATGTCTTTCAGGTTTTTTTTTCTCTCTCTACAAATAATATATACTCGTATATATATATACACCTATTCATTTCTGCGTCTATTGATATAACATTTCCTCGATTATGGAGACAATTATGTGAATTTGATCAGATTTTTTCTTTTGAGATATGGTTGGGCATGGTGATTTCGCAATATTTTCAGATTATTATCCTAATCACAATGTATCACTCTGTTTGCAAAACATTAAAAAGAAAAAAAGAAAAAGAAAAGGCACCATTCAGTTAAAGATAGTAAAAATATACAATGAAAATATTTATATTGGGACGGAGGGAGTATGTACTATTTGTATTATATATATACACATATGTGTAAGTATAATGTGATACCTTGATGTGGCTGAACATCCAAATAGAGGAACTCCTTGTGATAGAGACTTCCCTTTGACGAGTCTTTTCTCTAACCAAAAATATGAAAATGAAAGGAAAATGACACATTTATATGGTCATTTTTTCTTTTTAAAATTTAAAATTTAAAATTTTCCTTTTCCTCTCTTGGGTAATATCAGTTCTCTTCCTTTTGGTTTTAGAAATACCCATAAATGGACCCTTTTTTCTTGATTCATGTCATTTTGCGATAAAAAAAGGTTTCTTTTGGTTTTGAATTCTTTCCCTTTTTCTGCATCATCCTTTTTTAAGCTCTGGAAATAACTTACTTTTTGACTGAACTTTCTTGGCACTGTACCTCTTTTCTCCATTGAGACAGTCATTATGACTCTAAAATGTAGATAGGGAGAGAGAGCTATGGTCACCTCCTTTAACTTAATTAGGTAGAAACTTATTTTAAGGAGGGAGAGAGGGGCTCAGATAAATATATGTTCCTTAGTTTGTTTCAATATGGCAATAAATCACTTTACCCAAAAAAAAAAAAAAAAATCCTACATGGTAATAAGTACTGTAATGAGATTGAGGTCTATCTTCCTTGTTGTCGTGACACGCGGCATAATTAGAGCACAAATCAACTAGAAAAAGATAAATAAAGGAACCAAACATTTAGGCGGTCTTCTAGATGAATGAAATTTCATATATCATGGAGCATGGTGTAGTTCAAATTAATTTATTATTACCATTATTTTGATTAACATAGTAAGTTACACAAAATTATATATATATATATATATATGAACAACACTCTTAGCAAGTTAAGGAACCTACTGGCATGCAAAGAGGTATAATAGAATAATACTCCTATATAGAGGAGTGGTTATGAAGTTGTAACCTTGGGCCGAGAGAATATGGTAACGGTTCAATCATAGGGACACGAAATGAAATAGAATAGTGAAAAAAGAAGAAGAAGGTAATTAGATAGAATAATTAATGCTCTAATTTGACTACTTAAAATTACTTTAAACTAAGTTAATAAAATGGCTCATTGTTAATTATTAGCATCACATTAGAGTTTTATAAAGATCAAACAATTCAGTGAAGTTAGTTTTAAGTAAAATAATGATTTAATACAAATATATATTGGAAGGTTTAATACAAATAAATTAGCCTCATATAGGATAATTAGTATTTGCTTAGTAAATGATGATTGGGTTTTGGTTCCTTGTTGATCATTGAAATGGCACAGTGAAACATGGGTCAAAATCCAGAATGTTCAGAGACTAAAGAAGCGCGCACATGGAGTGCAATGCTGGTTTTAAAACCAAATGTCTCCTTGTCACTTCCAAGTTCATCAGAAAAAAAGATAAGGTCTTCTTATTGCAAAAGCTCAGGGCTCAGAGCTGAGTTGGTTTTGTGTCCCTTTTACCTTTTATGCTACTCTACATACATAAAATTAAAGAACCTGCAAGTACTGTCGTTAATTTATTCATGTTTTATGTGAATAAAGATAGCTTCGTTACTTTTTGTATTTTCTTATTTGATTTGGGTATTATATACAAGAAGATCCTTCTTGGACAACAAATCATCGAGCATGGCATCGTACAGGTGCAGCCCATGCCCATATAAATGATACCAATATGCACAAATATTACATATTAATTAATAAATGTACATATTATACTACAGATGCAAAAGAAAATTGCCTTCTGAGTCATTGAATCAAACATGATCAAGAGACTAGCATTAGAAATTGATAGATCATCATATGAATGTGATTTTATTTAAATATGAATGTAGGAGTTGAAATTGATGGATACTTATTAAAAAAAAAAAAAAAAAGGAGTTGAAATTGATGGATAGAAAAAAGAAACAAAGTTGTGGGAGGGGAGGGAGTAGGGTTTGAAGATTCGCTTCTTTTAACGAGACAGTCCTTTGGCCACCCTTTCTTGGAAATGAAAGAGAGAGAAAAGAAGGGTCACAAAGTAGGCATGTAATCCAATGTTTTCCTAAGCTTTTTTATGACACGTACTGTGTATAATATTAAATGTTTGGATCACAGCTAAACGATATTTGTCTTATTTGGTTTCCTCTATTCTCATCCTTCTGCTATATCTACCATCTTGTATGTATACTACTGTAATAAATAATAATATATTTCGTATTTTTATGTCCCCAAGTCGTTTTCTTGGCCTTTGGATACATTTCACTCTTATCCCTACATCCACTCTCCTTTGTCCGTTGTTGCTTGTGTTGTATATTTTATCAATTACACGTCTTTTTAAACATGTATATATATATATATATATATATATATATATGTATATACATATGTGATGGTGTAGTCAAAAGTGTGTGATCTCTGTGTTCGTTCTTACTGTACGCCTTATCTGCTAATCTGAACGTCAGTCTTCGTCCCTGATAGTAGGGATAATGATGGTTTTTTGTACAATGACAAGGGGTACATAGTAGTCTATGTATATACTACGAGTAAGTACTACTCCGTATAAGACAATTTCGAACTATCGACCTTCCTACTTTATTTAGAGCTTCTGACTACTTTCAGCTTTTTCTTTTTATTTTTTTTTATAAAAACGTGCCCTCCCACCATGCTACACTACTTTATAGTCTCTAGTCTCTCTTGCCCCATTACTGCCATGTTCAGTGTCTAATAAATAAAATTTGTTTTTTTCTGCTTTCCATAACTGTCTCGTAGCTAAAAGTTTATACTCATAAACATAAAACGTAATATACATCCTCTGTTCCAAAAAAAAATATTTCACACACAGGAATTTTTTTTTTTTTTTTTTGAAACCGAGGTAGTATTACAGTATTTGGTTCTATTCTATGTATGAGACTACTCAATAAAGAGAACAATTTAGAAAAATGCTGCTAACATGTACTTGAAAAAATTATTTCAAATATTGCAATAATTTAAATGCACACAAATTGTAAGCGTCATATATATTATTATCCTCTAGAATTAATCTATATTATTAGGGACTACTAAAGTATCTTAGATTTTGGGTTATCTAACCAAAGTGTCTAGTAAGGTTCACTTTTAGAGTGGGTCACAGACAAGTATGAAATGTTGTAGAATGATGTAAAATTTTAAACTATTAGTCCCTCTCTTCCGTAAAAGGTGTCTATTTTTTTTTATTGTCCCAATTCAAATTTGGATGTAATAAATTTTTTAATATTTCTAATTTATTCTTTTTACTTTTAAATTATAAAAATAAACAAAGTACGTGGACCCGCCATAGAAGGGCTATATATTTAAAAATTTATTCCCTACCCCCATAATAAAAATATATATTAAAAATTACCTTCTTAAAAATTTATGCTCAGTTTGGTGTAGGAAGGAAAAAAATTGGATTGAAGAGAACAATAAAACATCTCTTATGAAGAGATTGCGTCCTTCCTTCTTTTGTTTGGTTTGGTTTAATGGAAGAGAAGATACTAAGATAATATCTAATTTTGTTTGCTAGGAGGAAAAAAAAAAAAACAGAAAGTGTTTATAAAGAAAATTTTATAATTTAAAAACATTTATAATACCCTTGCATTGCTTTCTTTGTCTTTCGTCCATACTTTGAGGGATGAAAATTTGTGAAGGAGGAAAGATGAAACATCCATCCCTTTTTCGCTAAGGATAAATGAAAATTTAAGATTAATATTTATCATTGCATCCTCTCTACCAAACAACTACACTCATAATTTGCAATTATTAAGTTTGTTCCTTCTTCTCTATTTTCCCTCTATCACTCTTCCTTCCTACCAAATGAAGCATTTGTGGTGTAGACAATAGAAAATTTGCAAAAATTTGTAAATAATAGTAGATTCTAAAAGAGTAAATTTTTTCTACGGATATTTAGAATTTAAGTGAAAGAGTTAGTGGGGATAAATGTTAATCTTTAATTATAAAGCATTCCGAATATCCATAAATAGGTGAGTGGGATATTTAAAAAAGGACAAGACTTGCCTCCTTATCGGTGAGTAAATTATCTATACTCTCAGCTGACCTGGTCTAATTACAACTACACTCATAATCTGTAATTACAAAATTAGAAAATTGATAAATAAAAAAAATCAAAGAGAGGGTAGTTAAATTTATTTCAAAAAAGTTATTGTCGTTATTTATTACTTTTCTAATTTTGTAATTATAAATTATATATATATTTGTGATTTGACTATACTAGCACACATTTGTGACATTTATGATTGGATCAAATTAGGGGTGAAAAGAAATTCACTTACTCACCCGTGAGAGACAAGTCTTGTTCGAAAATCAAAAAATTGAGTTGATCACGCTACTTGATCTAATTAATTTTGTACCTTTCTTTTGTTAATATATATGTTATACAGCTTTCTACTTTCCAGTATCTTCTGTTTACTTTACCCGCCTGTCATTGCCAAGTGTCTCCTAAATAAAGTTTGTTTTTTTGTCTCTCCTAATTAAAGTTTTTTTTTTTTTTTTTTTTAACTGTATTGTGAATAAAAGTTTAATACGGAAAAAGTTATAGCAGGAGTGATAGGCCGTACATATTTGGTGTTGTGAATGTTTGGCTTTTACTAATTGGATACGGGAGGGTAATATTTGAGATTCATAAAGAAAACAATTTAAGAAAATGCTGTGGACCAACAGTAGTTTGTAATAAAAATTACACTAATGAAAATGCAAATAAATAATTAGCTAAATGATGAAGTAAATGTTATGATGCGACATTATTCTGCTTAATATATATAGAATAAAAAGGAAAATCTTTCTGTTTTAGCTCTTATTCTAGGTCGTTCTAACTTTCCCAAAATTAAAATCTAAAAAAAATTAAAATCAGAAACATTTGCTGGTTTTTAAGCCTGAACCCAAAACAAAAGCATGTTGGGTTGCAAGTACTGTCCATGAGTAGTTAATTGTGAGAAGCTCAAGTACAAAATTTTTTTGTTAGGAGGGGGAGGGGTGTGAAAAATAATCACATCGACCAATGTCAATTGGTGGTTTAAAAAAAAGATTCTTTAGGTTTGGATTGAGACTTGTATTTTAAGATAAAATACTAGTAGTACTATTATTTGTTTATATATATATTCTCTTTCTCTTTTCATGAATCAAGACACCACGATCAGACTTCTATTCTCTACTTTTTATATGATCTCTTTTTTCTTCTCTTCCGCCATAAGGTAAGAAATACCAAACAATCTTTGATCTTGCAAAAATCACATTTGAACTCTGATGTAGTTTCTCACGTGTGTTTGGGTGCAGGTATGTTCCACGTGGCTAGCCGTATCTCGCTCGGACCTCCTATGGCAGAATCTCACATCCAGTATTTGGAATCGCCACCACCTCCTCCACGATACATGGTGCGACGAGTACATTTACCGCCACCGCACAGCCCACAACTTCCGGGTAGGACAGTACATCTACTCAACCCTCCACTTCATCCCCTCCGAAGACGACGACAACGATGGCCTCTCCTGCCGCCGCCTCGCTCTCTCCGACAACTTCCTTGCCGCCGGCTTCTCCAATGGCTCTGTCCGCCTCTTCCACCTGCCCACCAGACTCCACCTCTCCACCTTTCAATCCCACCAACGCGATCGTATCGGCCGCTTCTCTCCCGCAATCTCCGGGATCATCCTCTCCGACACCCAGCTCGTCTTTGCCTCGCTTGACGGGGACATCCACGTTGCAGCCACCGACGTTGGACCTCCAGCGCGGAGAACCCACTTGGGTAACCAGGTCAATGATGGGGTTTTGGTCGACTTTACTGGCTGTGCCCGCTGGTGGGTTGGCCTGTACGCAGGTGCATGAAATTGGTTAATAGTATATATATATATATATATATGTATTTTCTGAAATTATTTCAAAATTTAGAATTTTGCAGATATTGAGATATATTGGTTTGGATTGGATTGCAGGTGTTCCAGGTCGTGCCTTTCACGTGTGGGATGGTGCGACTGAGGAACTCCTCTTCGTTGGCGGGACGCTGACAGACCAGGAGGCGGTAATGGGTTGGCACCTACTCACTGAGCTGACGGTGTTAATAGGCCGAATCAGAATCACGGGTCAGGAATCGGCGGTGGCATGTACGAGTCCTAGGGTTATTGTATTTGACCTAGCAAACCAAGGCATCGTGTTTGGGGAGGAAGAGTTTCAGACAGGGTTAATTGTGGGCTCGGTTGACGCTAACAACGACGCATTCATTGTTGTCGACAGTCGTGGTGTGGCTAGTGTGCGCCGGGCTGGTACTCTGGAGGAGGTGTGTAGGTTTACGGTGAGGGGCGCCTCTCAGAGGAGTGTTCTGGGGTGTATGAACGGTGGATACGCACTAATGTGCGCCGGGGGCGTAATAAATGTGTGGGAGGTAGAGCAGCAGGGACAGCACCTATACAGATTTAACGAGAGAATAGGTGAAGCAAATGCTCTGATTGCTGATGATAGATACGTGGCAGCTTGTTCCAGTGATGCAACCATACACTTATGGGACTTTGGAGCACAATAGATGATATATATATATACACACACACATACATATATGTATGTATGTATGTATCAGGGTGACAGTGGACACAGGTACTTTTATCAGTTGACAGAAAGCAATGGGTCAAAAGAGGCGTGCAGTAGTAACTGACCTAACAAAAAAGTGTACTTGATTGATGTGTATCTGACTGAGATGTGGACGGCCAAGTGATACTCTATTCTGGCATCTTTTTAGGTTTGAGAAGTTGACACCCTGTGTTGACTCGATTGACCAAAGAAAGACAAAATTTTCCCTTTCCTTCCCTTCCCTTTCCTTTCCTTTCCTTTCCTTTCCTTTGTAATTCTATTTGTACGGTGATGTAGGCTTTATGTACTGTACTCTAATTTACTTTGTATTACGTATTGTATTTCATTGGGTACTTGGGTTTTTGGTTGTGGGGCTTAAAATTGTTAGGTGGTTAATTAAGGTAATTGTTTTATGCCAAATGTTCTAACTATGGACCAATTTGAGGCCCAACTCATTCATGTATTAAAAGAGTTAATTTGACTCAAAGTTCCACCGCCTGTAATTTTTTGGCTTATGGTTCTCTTTTATTTTGAGTAATTTTCCTACCTTTGAAAACTTTTTTTTGGGCCTAACAAAGAGAAAAGAACTAAGACAGAGAAGTGAGCCAAGTGGGCCAACAGACACAAGGTCAGAGGACCTATTACATGAAGCCCATTTACTAAGAGGGTGCGCTGGAATGTTGGATGACTGAGGAGCCCAGGATAAAGAGAAGTTTCGATGGGCTACAAACAGAAGCTTCATGTCTTCGATGACCACGGAGGATGCTTGCTTCATTTGATTTGAGAGAAATTGACTGCGAAAATGCTTGGCCGGGAAAAGAAAAAAAATGCTATTCCGGACAATGCTTATTAATTGATTGGTTAAAAAAACTTTATGAATTCTTCCCTTTTTTCAAAGAAAAATTGTTTTTATTTTTAATTTTCAATTTTTTATATGTATAGAAAAAAATCATGTAGTGTGATGTGTATATATTACCTCTTGGACCTGGAAAACTATTACGGAGTATTAGATTTCTTTTTCCGTCTCTCTACTTCGTATGTATCCACTTATACATAATTTAGCTCACTATATTATTAAATTGCATGCTTATGGAGTTTGTAAATCACATGAGAGCTTATTAGCGGGTGAATTGATTTTTCGTTATTAAAAAAAATAAATAATAATAAAGGCATGTAGTATATTATTATCATCATCTCTTAAATTAATTTTCAAAGTAAAAAGTGAAGGGTTCAAGTCTTCTCAATTGCACTATGAGAATAAGTTACTAATTTTCTTGTTTATCTTTTCCCCTTATTCCATATTATATTTTCTAATTTATTTATTCTTCTCTTCGTTTGAGTAAGACTTAAATTGATTTTGGCTTGTTGTGAAGTGGATCAGAGTTATGATGCTATGTAAAATTACAAGGAAAGGCAACAAACAAAGTTGCCCATTGTTTGAGTCAAACTAGCTATGCAGATGAAGGAAGGTCATGTCTGTTCTTGACTGGAATAAAATCTTTTGTCATCAATGATTACTTACTTGTTTGCCTTGAATATATATATAATATTTTAATTTATGATCATTTTCTCTCTAATAGTGACTAAATGAAGATTTTTTATTTTATTAAAATAAAATAAAAAATTTAACATCATTACTAACAAATGATTGGGTGAGAAAGGAGTGCATTTTTTTAATTTCAAATGAAGAGGGATTTTGACTTGCCGAAAAGTGAAACATGCTGCAGTGGAAGAATGCCAGCTTCCATCCGTGCCCAGCACATATAATTTTACAAAAGATTACCATTTCACACTGGAAATGAAATGGCACGGAACCATGACCAGATCAATAATTTCTCTCTTTTATTGGTAAGAATTCACTTGAGTATTATTATTTATAATCTGGCAATGATTAATAGTTAGTTGGGAAAGAGAGAATCAAATGTAGGATCAATAGGGTGGGGCACACCACTTGGGCGACACCATCACATCTCGCTTGAGTATTGTTATAGATAAATTATTTATATTTTTTTGTTTTATTGCATTGAGACATTCTTAATGACTTTGCTTCCATTGTGTTTTTTTATTATGACTTTGCTTCCAATGACTTTGTTTTATTATAAAATATTGTATTATTATGTGTTTTTTTATTATTTATCTTTGCTTCCAATGTGCCCAAACACTCACCATTGTACCAAGGCCTAAATCTTACCCTTCCACCTAGCTGTATTGTAATGAAGGGATGCACATCCAGGGTTTGACTTCAACCATGCCCCTTGTTTCCATTGTATAAGCTCATTCACGTTGTCTCTAGAATTATCATTGAGAAGTAGGAGTAAAAAAAACTCATCTAATTATATATTATTTTAAATAGTGTACAGATATCAGTATCACCCCTTTTGGTAGGTAAAAGAAATTTTTTGCAACTTTGACATTGTACAAAATGTTTATAATTTATAGATTTAACTGTGTAATAATTGAAGGAGAAAAACAGTACTATAGATACAAACAACATTATAGATTCCCAAGCTCAAGCTCCATAATCTACAGCCCATCTTCCTCCTTGCAGTAAACATCAACTTTAAGCTACAGTTCTTGGGCATTGACGGAAGAGGATGTTGCCCTGTTACTGCCATGTAAATTGCTGATAATAGGTACCTAAAATATGCATCAACAAATGAGTGCAAACTATATCTTGAGAAAAACCAAGGTTCAGGAGCTTTCTGAAAAAATGCAGATGAAGTCTAGTCATGGTTGGGCAATCCCCTTCTTCACAAGCATATCGTAAACTCTATCCAACTTGTTTGGGTCAACCTTGAATAGGCCATGGGCGTCTGATTTCTTAGTAATGTTGCCATTCGAAATACCTATTGACATAGTCTGCAACATATTAAGATAATGTGAAGGTAGGATCTTGATCTCGCCACAGAGCTGTTTTTCCTGCACATAAATATCACAACAGAAAAGTAAGAATCCCGAAACAAGCTGTCAAAAAGAAAAAATAAGAAAAATACCCTCTTTTCTGGGTAGGCAAGACACTCCTACACCATCAGACGCCCCAATTTGGACTCAAACGCTCAACCTCTTCTTTTGGGAGGAGGAGGAGCTACCATTCCAAACTAAAGCTGGTGGTAATTCTATGTTTGTTCGTCATTCCTTACATATTAAAACCTTGCAAAACAAAACTTAGGCTCCGTTTGGTTTCAAGTTGATTTAGTGAGGGAATGGGAAAACAATGCAAAGGAAATAATTATTCGGTGTTTGTTACCAGGAAAAATAGGAGGGGAATGAAAATATAAGAAGAAAGGGATAACTAAAATGTTACACGTAGTTTGCGCCTTCTTTCGCAATCCCCGGCTATTTTTTAAGAAAATTTGCATTTTTAATTTAAGCTGTAATGGAAATATGAGGAAAGTTGTTTTTCCCTTACCTCTTTTAACCCAAGTATTATGATCATTCATGATATTGGAAATTGGGTATTGGACAACATCATCCAATGTATAACCAAGAGAATTTCAAGTCCCAAAGGAGCCAAGTTTGTGTGTTTTAGAATTAATAGGAACCAGAACAGCAATCTTACAGTTTCAGAGAGTAAATCAGCTCCAATAAATCCAGAGATGTCCCAATCATCTAAGGAGCTTGAAATTGATTGTCCAGCAGTTGTTGAAGAAGAGTCCTTGCCACTAGAATCTAGACCTGTGGATCCCCTTGCACCTCCCGTAGGGCTGCCATCAAGTTCACCTTTAAGATGATTCGCCCTTTGCAGGAATTTACCACTGGGACCAGCCTGGGTGCTCTCCTTCACTCTACGAGAACTTTCTTCAACTTCCTTCTTCCTCTTCTGTGCAATATATCTTTCAGCTTCGGCTGATGTCCGGCAGCCAGCAGCTCGAGCTTCCTGCACAATTATTTTAATCTGGACAATAAGGAACTTTATACACAGTAAAACAAAAATTATATATCTATCACACACATATACGGTGAATAAAATGTGTTTGAGCCTGCCCAAGTATGTATAAGAAATAATAGTCTTGGATAGATATGAAGCTAGGCTTTCTTTCCGCAGGCAGATGACTGTGAGGATGTTGTTTCTTCGAAAATAAGTTCAAGTCATTTATTGGAACAAGAAGCCTGTTTTGCTAGTCACCATATTTGTTCACAATGAGAATCCAACTTCGTGTAATATGTAAATATGTAACCAAGTAGAGATTAGCCAAATGGGCCAAGTGTAAAGGCATCAAGTACTGGTCCTATGATATGGAGTTCTGAAATATTTGGATTCAATAATCAACTGCTTTATTGAAAATAAGAACTGGTGGAGTTGAACCATGCACAAGGCTAATAAAGTTGGCTGTATAGTCTTCTGACCTCTAGCTACCCATAAGTTCTAAAACAAAGTTATGCATGGATAAGCATGCTAGAAACCTTGGGTATTCTAAGAACTATAATCTACAATCTTTACAATAATTTAGTAGTTGACTATAATCTCCATAATTCACAAAGCATATTGAGTTCAAGTGACAGGCATGCATCAAACCTGAAGTTCTTGTATTCTTTTCAGAATACGATGTTCCTCAATGATACTCTTAAGCAATTCCTCGTGCTCTTCTTTTGAATGGAATCGCATGAAGACCCTATATCGCCGACATATTTCCCTCTCTTCAAGTGAGAGGTTCTTCTCAAAAAGGTCAGGGTAAAGTAGGTTTCTTTCCAGTATAAAATCCTTCCTGCGTTTCCTCTCATCAAGCCTGCCAAACATCCGTAATACATTTCATAACAAAATGGAAGAAATTGAACAGCAAAAAATCTAGGAGTACTAAAAGAGTAAATAATTTGTGCCTTACTTGGGACGTATAGTGCTCCATATTCTGTACCAATTAGTCAATATGTGGTCCAAAATCTTGATCATTATTGAATAACTAGAAGAACTAAAAGCAGTAATTGCTAATTTTCTCAATAAATGAGAGCTCAGCACATTACTGATTAGCATTTCTTCATTAAAAGTCGGTGGTAAATACTAAGCACGTGGGTTGTGGACCAAAATAAGCTTGAGACCATGTCAATAGGGCATTGGTAATTTGTAGCTTTTGGTTTTCTAATAGCTTATATAAGATAAACAATGCTGAGCAAATTGTAAAAATATCTCTTTGATAAAATTAATCTATACTAGCCTAAATTTAACAACCACATGGACAACAAAATAATAGCATGCTGACAAATGAAATCAAATCAAGAGAACAAATCAAAGCACCACTGTGTTGAGGAGATTTCCTCTGGGAATTGACGCAAACAATCATTTTTTTAATTACACCCGCTTTATAAAATGCAAAATGTGGACACTTCCATAGACCATAAGTCAGCTATGTCGTGATTTCTCATATAAAACTACATTCATAAAAGCAAATAAGTCTCTACACAAAACAAAAAAGAGAGAAAGTGTACACCTTTTGGAGTAAATATGCAATACTCGCAGTTTTAGTTCACGCTCTGCTTCAGGATCTGTATCCTTGAATTCCATGTCTGCTAGTAACTGCTCTGCATCATTATCATATTCAATTTCGAATTCTTGCCTCTTGGAATTATAGCCACTCAAATCTGTCATAGAAGGCCCCTCATCCCCTGAAGTCCTAGGTTTTTTCTCTCCAATGCTTCTGTCTGCATGAGAATCTGCCGACAACATTGTATGAGAAACAATTAAGCACGAATCTTGTAAAACAGACCATATATATTGTTGGAAATTGTGTCTCAAATTCCTATTCTAATTAGGATTCTATTTTAGAATTATATAATTGTATTCTGCTAGGTAATTTCTTGTTTGGTAAGTCTCGGTCTCTAAGAAATTGTAATCCTTGTCCAACAAGGAATTGTGTTTGTAACTCTATAAATAGGTACATATGTTGTGGGTTGAGACTTCTGAGATTGAGAGAGACGTAGTCTCATGAGGGAGTTGATGGGTGGAGGTAGTATGCGAGTTGGTAGAGTAGGAAAAACACAGGTGACGCTGGTAGCGAGGAAAGGCCGGTTTTGGCTGAACCATGTATATTTTGTGTTTGTGTGTGATTGCTTTGTTGGCTTTTATTGGATCCTCATTGTTGGTAGAGTAGGAAAAACATAGGTGACGCTGGTAGTGAGGAAAGGCCGGTTTTGGCTGAACCATGTACAAACCATGTATATTTTGTGTTCGTGTGCGATTGCTTTGTTGGCTTTTATTGGATCCTCATTGTTCGCGTGCTTCCGCTGCCCCAACATATATATATATATATATATATATGTATGTATGTATTGATTTTTATACACAAACTGAAAGGTATAACAATCATGAAAATTTAGCCTTTATTGAAAATTTAAAACCAGAATATCTTTCAGGTCGCACAGGTTAATAAATAGAGAAGATTCAATTCTTACATCCATCCAGAAAGGAAAATCTCCATAAGCAAACGATAAAAATCAGAAAAACTTGGAAATAAATTAGAAACCAAGAAGCACCCAATGTATATAATCCAAAGCAATACGAGTGAAAGCCAGATGAGGGATACAAGCATTCTACAAAAAATAAAAATAAAAGAACACACTACCTTCCACTTTAATGCCGTCACGACCATCTTTAATCTGTGTCACACTGGATACCCTTTTAACTTCACCTGTGGCTGTGTTACCGCTGCTAGTACCCACACCAGAGACCATATCTGATGCATGAGAAAAATAATATCAATACATACACTATGTACTCCATATTTTCATTTCCATAACATTTGAGAGAGAGAGCCTGCTGAATAACAAACTTGTCCCAAGATTGTTAATCGCCATATGAGAAATTAAATTAGATGAGGATTGACCTGCTGGACCTTCCTTTCTTTGATCTTCAACCCTGTCAGAATGGTTCAAGATGGTGTTAGAAAAAGAGGATAAAAAACTGCATTGAAGGATACATAATGGAGAAGTCAGTTATACTTGACTCTTGACGAGAATGGAGACTCTTCTTTCATAGTGAGTTCCCCAAGCATAGGAATTCCTGAGGATTCAAAGCAGGAAAAACAAATGAGTTCTACATGAAAACTTTAGTAATAATATTCTCTGACACCCAGAAACAAGGAAAGCAAATTAAAAAATTTAAAGACGTATACACATGTACATAAATCATCATGCAAAGGTGGAAATTAGAGGAGTCATTTTTCAACTTAAGGATAAGAAAACAATATTTTTTATCTTTTAGACTGAAACAAAACCAAACAACTAAAAGTATAAAAATAACAGCAAGAAACATGGCACTTATTGTTCCTTCATTTGAAATCACCTACAAGAAAAGCTCAAATACGAATGCACTTATTGTCATGTATTTTTTATATGCCTTATTCAAACTAGTCAAATTTCAATATAGATGTGCAACAAATAATGGAATCACTAGCAAGCTAACCTTTCTTAACTTCAACATGCTCCTTGGCCATAGCAAGGAGTTCCTCCCTATTTTTCCCCATAACATGAGACATGTCCTAGAGAGATTTCGCATGAGCATTATAAGTTTCAGCTTGTAGCCTTTAAGAAAGGTAAAAGATCAAATTAAACTTAATGTCATACCGGAAGTGGAAAGCACGGGGAGTTCATGTATATTGTATTATAGTGGTCAATACATTGTGATTTACTTTTTGTTCCAACGTGTTCTGCAACTTCAGTCCAGTTCCCCAATCCATACATTTCGATACCCTGCATAAAAGGCAATATGAACTTTTAGGATAAGGTCGCAGATACAATCATCTCTAAATATCAAAGGTGATAAATTGCATATTAACAAGTACATATTATAAAACTAAAACTAAAAAGTTTCATTAAATATATAGGAATACCTCTAGGAGTAATATCTCCTCATCTGCATTCCAGTCAGGACATATTAGTGGGAATGACAGATTATCCTGCAGAAAGGGAAACCTCAAAAAGTACATCAATCAAAAATCAAGACAAACCGACCATTGTGGTAAAACGTGAAAACACCTGACAAGAAACTAATCAAGGTAATACTGTAAAAGCGATTTACTTTCAACAATAAAAGCAAAGGTCATTTCAAGAGTGACAATGATGAAGAAGAAAAAGGAAAAATACACAAACTACTGTTTAACATATCAAAATCACATTCTTAAGAGGAAAGGGAAAAAAAAGAAAGAAAGGGTCATCCATTGACAACATATGATTAAAGCTTAAACTCAGGCCAACGAACTCCAGTCTTTCAAAATTGGGTTGCCAACAAGGAAACTTTATTTTACCAACATGCTCCACCTGGGACTCCAAAACCTTGATGTATTATTTTTACATTTCCTCATCCTTGTAGTGCCATCATCCAAGACCAAACTACCTATTGACGTAGAACTAAATCTTTATCGAATGTGAACAACTGTCTCAAAAAGTCCTTCATATTGTCATTCTAAATTACTCTACCTTTTATCACTTCATGAATGCATTCATTTTATTATTGGTGCTCTTGTCTTGCCTCAAATTTATCTTAACAACTCTTTTTAGCAACAAGCAATAATAAAGACGAGAAATTGAAGTATTTCTAACTCTGAAGGGAAAAATCTGATATATAATCATGAACTGTGAAGAATTTGAAACATCAAACGAGTACATGAAGTATATAGAGATTCTCACAGGAAATGACAAAATTTCAAATGATGAACAAAGATAACTGACTTCATAACTGTTAGAAACAGTATAAGTACAGCCAAGCAAGTACCCAATCAAACGCATCTTATCTCATTAAATCACTATAAAGCGCACTTAAAAAGTGTAACACATAAAAGGGCTAGCCCATGAGGCTCCCGCCACTGCGGGGTCTGGGGAGGGTCAGATGTACGCAGCCTTATCTATGCATGCGGGAAGGTTGTTTCCCATTTTGAACCCATGACCTCCAGGTCACAATGGAGCAACCTTACTGTTGGGCCAAGGCCTGCCCTTAAAAACAAAAATGGAACACATCTCACCAATAAAACTGAGAACAGATAAACAAGTTCCCCTGAACACTCGTATAAAGTACAACTATAAGAATCATGAATTCAGCTATAGTAAAGCATGGTGGTTGGTTAACACTTAACACTGAATATTCAAGACTATGATGAATACTAGATAAGTTCTGAAATAAGAGAAGAAAGTAACAGGAATAAAGTCACTAACCATAACCCTATAAGGATGATTGCTTTTGTGAGGTGACACCTCAGCTCCAACAGAAAAGCACTCCACACAAAGGTCAAAATCAGGACACATTACGCACTTAATGCGGATCTTTCCCGAAATATCTTTGTTACAGTAATTACAGTGGTACAAAGCCTTTTTCCCTTCATTCATTCCTTGACCTACCCCAAGGGGAAATTGAAGACACCAGAGAAAATGAGAGAGAGATAATGAAAACAAATAATTTATTACTCTTACAAATTAGTATATAAAGCTTAAAGGGAAAAGAAAAGCATAAGCAACACTAGGACTCAAAATCTATCAAACCACACAACCCTCAGCAATGCATCATGGATAGAAATTTATATGTTGGAGAAATATTTCCCCGTACTCTTCATGATTGGGTAGAAGAAAGGACAAATAACCTGAAAGTAAAGACACCTAATTGTCAAGCTAAACATTACTTTTTCAAGTTGAACAAAACATATTTGGGCTATAGAGGATCATGTTAGTGTTGATTTCTTCTCTTCCCCACCCCCAACCATCACAGGGTGACTGTACTTTTCTTTGCTTTTCTTCTTTTTTGGTAGGTAACTGTATTTTAGTGAAACAATACCTGTAGCTGCTGCCTCTAAATTCTCAACATTTGAAGCAGTCCTTTTTCTCTTGGATCGACTGAATATTGTAAAAGAAAACAGAAAATTTCAATGTCAAATGAGGCAACAAAAGAAGCATAAATGGCTAAATATTTCATAACAGGCTAAGGAAAGGAAAAAAAACCCACAGAAAACGATATAAAATAACCCAAAGTGCACATACTAAGAGTTTCTTGGGAAAAGTTGATAAAAAGAATTGAGTGAACAAAAAAGCAGAATGCAAATGCATTATAGATACTGATACAACACTAAAAGATAACTCCTAAAGCTCAGTAATAAATTTAAACATATTGGAGTAATTTATAGAGAGATAGATGGATATATATACAGAGAGATACTTAAAATCTATAAAATTATTTACACAAACCAGAAATGTTATGCAATTGAATCAGTGAGTAATAGTTAACAATATCAAACAGCATGGATCATAATATAAACACACAATAAAAAGATTTATGTGAACTAAATTCCATCTTTGCACACAATCGAAGTGTTATCATAAAACAGGGGCATGCACATAAATCTTGGTACAACAGTTATGAGGGTATCCTAAATACATAATTTTGAACCATTTCACTCCAGCTTGAGAGCAAATTGTACCATAAATGTAACGCATTCTATAATGATAGAAAATCATATTACAGCAGTCTATGGTACAGCACTCTTGCTAATAAGTTGAGTGATAAATCATTATCAATCTGGAGGAAAAAAAAAATTAACCCCCATTGCATGAAGCACAATAGGCAACTTCGAAATTCAGCAACTCCACAGTAAAATGCTAAGAACATATAAAAAATGCTCACAATCAACATAAAACACAATTTCGATACACACACACCACTAACAGCATCACGAAGACTAATGCAGCTCAAAAAACAGAAAATTTGGCTACAAAAGAGTCAAATTTGTAGCATTGTGTATGTGTGTCTACAAACACATACATATATGTAAATATGTAGAGAGTGTGTGTCAAAGAGGATAATTGTACGGACCTTTGACTGGGATCCTCATCCGCGGAGTGGGGAACTGCGCGAGAACGACCCATCGATGCGAACTATACCTGATTAGGGCTCGAATTTGAAACCCTAGAAATTTCTTCAGATGCTTATCCAACACGAGCTCATTAAAGTCCTTCCCAGAAAAGGAAAAACAATCGAAATTTTAATTTCGATGTGTTTGGGCAAATATAGAGAGCTCTTTCAAACTATTAATTTACGAAGGTAGGCAAAAGATTAATCAGTATCAGCCAAACAGGGTGTTCCGACAGAGCACGTCATATGGGCTTTAATACACGATCTTGTTCGACTGATTCCATGCTGGGCTTTGGGTCTCAAATTAATAGGCCTCAACCCATTTATTGTCGGGCTAATTTAGACAATAGTTATCCAACCTCTCTCGAAACAACATGAAGAAAAAAAAACAGCAACAAAAAAGTTTATGCTTTTCATTTATTTATTTTTTTTAATATTTTAAACTCAATGATGACAAACGTTAATCATCAATATTCCATGATTTATCAACCGCAAAAACATATTTTAACAAATAAAATTTTCACACTCCGAATTTTGAAAGATAAATTGTATCAATTTTCTTAATTTAAAAAATCAAGCAAGTGTTAAAAAACAAAAGTAAAACCCAAAATATGTCATGGAACACTTGTATAATGCAGATGTTTATGAGACAACTTTAAATTTCCAATGTGTCTTGCCCTTACGACACCAAAACAACTTGTTCTTTTATACTTGTCCAACAAAATATATACTAATATACATTTTGTTAAGAACGACAGATTAGTACCATGTGTTACTTAACTTTATCTGTTTACTACTCAGTTATATATACTATATATATTATTATTTGTCGGTAGTGGTCCAAGAGTGAATGCAAATTATATTGTTTTAAAAAAGAAGAAACCTAGAGTAAACTAACTATAGCATCTCTGACTAACAAGACTCCAAGAGCGAAGACTAAAGATGTTACAGATAATATTTGCCTATAAATTAAACGTTGAGAAAATAAGAGGAGCATTAGAAACAAAAAAAAAACAATCAAATCTCTTTCCTTCCCCTCTAAATGGAGCTTCAGCTACCCTCACTTCCTCTCTTCTTTACCTTCCTCCTTTTCTTGTCCCTGCTTGTGAAGCACTGGAAGCAATCCAAAGCCAAAAGTCCAACCCAAAAATTGCCTCCAAGGCCATGGATGCTTCCTGTCATCGGTAACTTGCACCATTTAATTGGCTCACTCCTTGAGAGATTTGGCAAACAAATATGGACCAGTCATGCACCTGCAACTTGGTGAGCTTTCTGTTGTTGTCATTTCATCGCCAGCAGCAGCCAAAGAGGTTATGAAGACCCATGACCTTACCTTCGCAACCAGGCCAGATGTTCTCGCTTGCAAGATTATGTCATATGGTTGTCAAGATATTGTATTTGCTCCCTATGGCCAGTACTGGAGACAAATTCGAAAAATTTGCATATTGGAGCTCTTAAGTGCAAAGCGTGTTCAGTCATTTAGATCACTAAGAGAAGAGGAGGTACACAATCTTATTGATTCCATTTCCTCGTCGTCACCAGGAATTCCCATCAATCTTAGTCAGAAGATCTCCTCAATGACCAATGACATAATTGCAAGGGCGGCCATTGGTAAGAAGTGCGAAGACCAGGATGAATTCATATCGGTGGTCGAGGAAGTTATAAAGTTGTCCTCAGGGTTTGATGTGCATGATATATTCCCATCGCTCAAGTTCCTTCATTTGATTTGTGGAGGGAAGCCTAATCTGGAGAAACTTCACCAAAGGCTTGACAAGATTTTTGATGATATCATCAATGAGCACAAACTGAAAAGGAAAACCACAACCATCAATGGTGAGGAAGATCTAGTCCACGTGCTTCTGAATATTCACGAGAGAGGTGACCTTGAATTTCCTATCACGACAGACAACATCAAAGCTGTCATTCTGGTATGTCTCAGTAGATATGTACAATACTTCATCTAAACTCAAAGAATACATAACAGACACACTCAGTCAAATGAAATGACATCTAACTGATTTTTAAGAAAACTCACAATGCTTACACTACTCTGTACTCTGCAACAAATTTTCTAATCCTCCTAAAGGACGGAAAATGGCTTCTTTTACCATTTGGAAAACCACTTTGCAGGAATTTACATGTGTGTTTATATATAATAATATAATATAATATAACATACAATTCAACCACACAACATATGCTTCACAATAATAATATGCCTCATCATCAAGCACCAGAATCCCATTGTGACATTGCTTCTATTTAAATTCTGCATTGATCTTTAAGGAAATTCTGCGTTTGTCTTTAATTTGTGGAAAAGAAAGAGGCAGTGTATGGATCTTAATTTTTTTCATTGAAGCTTTCTTAAGAAACCATTTCAGATTCATTTTCGCCAAACTACTAAGGATAATATTTTTATCACAATAGTTCACGCACCACAAATCCCATTTTGGTTTAAATTTTACCTTGATTAGTAGTATTCCAGTATTGCTTCTACCTAAATGCCAAATTCTTTCAACAAGAAACATAAATGAGGTACGTCAATATTGGTGAGGCAGTGCTTGCATTACAGAACTTTAAACTATATAAATTGATCTGTGATGTCATAGGAATAAGATTACTCCCCAAATTTTGCCTGTTTCAGAAAATTTCAGTATCAGAATATTATTCTGTTGTAACTAATATGAATGTATTTTTCTTCTTTATTAGGACATGATCGCCGCAGGCACTGAGACTTCATCAACAGCCACAATATGGACAATGTCAGAAATGATGAGAAATTCAGGAATAATGGAGAAGGCACAAGCTGAAGTGAGACAAGTTCTTAAAGGAAAGAGCAAAATTGAGGAGATGGACATTCGGGAACTACATTACTTGAAATTGGTTATCAAAGAAACTCTAAGATTGCACCCGCCTGCCCCCTTGTTGCTCCCTAGAGAAGCAAGGGAAAGATGTGAAATTAATGGTTATGACGTACCCATTAAAACCAAAGTCATTGTTAATGCGTGGGCAATAGGGAGAGATCCAAAAAGTTGGACAAATGCCAAGTGCTTTGAACCGGAGAGGTTTCGTGGTTCTTCTATTGATTTCAAAGGGACAAACTTCGAATATATCCCATTTGGGGCTGGGAGAAGGATATGTCCAGGCATATCATTTGGAATTGCAAATATTGAACTTCCACTTGCTCAACTTCTATACCACTTTGATTGGAAACTCCCAAATGGAATCAAACCAGAAGAATTTGACATGAAGGAAACCTTTGGAGCAACTGCTCGGAGAAGAAATGACTTGCACTTAGTTGGCAACCCTTATATTCCGTCAATTCAGGAGAACCGTGAAATGGCTGGGACAAATAGTTAAATTATTCAACTGACTTCTAAGTGTTGGATTTGTGTGCCTAGTATAGTAAATTCTTACTTGGACTATAAAAGTCATTGTTCCCATTTGAATTTCATTATTTATGAATTATACAATTGGTGAATGTAATGTATTATTATTTTTATTCATTATGGAATTGATTATATCCACTTGATTACAACATATATTTATATATATGTGATGACGATCAATACAAAGTTATAAATAGTAATCATAAATGGTTCAAAGTCAGTAATTATGGATAGATATTTAATTAACTAAGACTTAAACCGAATTTACGATAGTTGAGATATATTGCGCGAGCCGTCTCTTTATCACGGTCATGGCATTTGACTCTCAAGTATGAGAGAAGTATATACTCTTTTATTAATTAGTAATTACTTTAATTTGTTCGGCGGATACTTCGGGATCCAAAGACCAGCACTTGGGGTAGTTATGTAATTAATAGTTAGAGGGATATATTATCAATATTTGCATCATTGATACTTGAATTTATTGATTATAGCTGATCACAAAGTAAATTTGAAGGCCTTCTTGTATTTTAGACAAAATGTTTTCTATATATTTATTTACTAAATTATTATTTTTGTCAAACAAATTTTTATTGTGATCAAGCTGGAAATAATCAAAGGTACCAAAATAAATATATTAATTATGTAGTTGGATAGATTACTTTATAATCCGATAAATAATTATGTATAGAGGGATCAAAATGCAACATTTACTTAGAGGTTATTTACTATTTAATTAGAGTCCAATTAATTTCTTTTAGTGAAGTATAAATTGATTTATGAATTAATTGAATTGGGTCCATAGTATAATGGACCATGCCAATTATTATTTCACGGTAGTCAAGAAAATAGTAAGCCCAAGGGATTCTCAACCATAGTCCAACTTGATATTGGAGGCCCATTAGATTTGAAATATCACGTGAATTTTAGAGATTGGGAAATATATTGACTACATTTTTTTTTTTTTTTTTTTTTTGACTATATATACATGGGTTCCATGTATATTTGAGATTAGGCCCTTTGTGCATAATTTGGAAGACATGAAAAATATTTTATCTCTCTAGATTTTAAGGGTTAATGTTCTCATCTAAAGGAGGCTCCCACAAGCTTTGTCTCCAAGGTGGAGTTTTGGGTGATTCATAAAGGGAAGATTACTACCAAGAAGAAGGAGATCATAGGAGAAATGATCTAGCTAAGAAATTTACAATAAGTGAAAACATTCACTTTAGAGAAAAAATTTAAGATTTACTCAAACCTTTGATGTAAGTTTTCAAACTACTAATGAATGATTCATCATCTTATTTTTGCATAAAACTTGTCTCTATATCATGAATCAAGATCCATGTTTGAAAATCCCTTAAAAGTTTTTTTTTTTTTTTTTAAGCTTCCATTTCCCTAAGACTAAGTTACCGCACAACTTTGTGTCAATTTGGATTGTTTGGGTATAACAATGGATCCTAAAAAATTTGAATGATGAAAAGGAAATCAATAATATACCTTGTCAATTTTTACTTCTGAATTTTGAAACAGGGATATGGTAAAGTGTCAAGTTCAGAACTAACTAATTATGTCAATCCCTAATAGAGAGAGAGAGAGAGAGAGAGAGAGAGAGAGAGAGAGAGAGAGAGAGAGAGAGAGAGGAACTTCTTCATTTACAAATTAGCACAAACCTAAGTTAAAAGACACTTTATTGGAGGAAAGATCAAGTCTCCATTTTATCTCATTTTATCTCCAATCGGTGTTACTTCAATCATCTCTTAAATGTGGTCATTTCAACTCCA